AAGAGAGAGAGAGAGAGAGAGAGAGAGAGAGAGAGAGAGAGAGAGAGAGAGAGAGAGAGAGAGAAAGAGAGAGAGAGAGAGAGAGAGAGAGTGTTCCACCGATAGGATAAGCAAATCGGAATGAACCTTCCGCTGGAACATGGGCGGGCACACCTGCTCCTTCGTCGCTGCTCGGCTCGTACTTACGCCGAGCTCCCCGAATTTGCAGGCCAAGATTGAATCTCCTCTGTAGAGGAGACCAGGTACGTGTCATCCCACTTTCCTCCTGTCTCGCTCCCCGCCATCTCTATCTTTATCTCTGCCCTTATGTGCACCTGTCGTACCGCTTACCCAGATTCAGTCCCCCTATTTCTTCACTCCCCGTCGTTTCCTGTCGGTGCCTAGGCACAATCTTCTCCCCGCTGCGCACAGTCGCACACCGTCTCCCGCCCTGGTCACGCTCACTCCCAACTTCTTCTTCCCGCCTAAGTTCCTCCCTACCACTATTCCCTATCCTTACCTCGTACGCACCTAGCATGAGTTCACGCCTCTGTTCACTTTGCCTCCTTCGACCCTCGGTTTACGTTGTCGTCACCGGTATTTCGCTCTTCGCACTTCGTTCCTGCTAGCTTCATCCCCCAGCGCCCGCTCTCTCAGCGTTCGGCAGCGCGGTTACCCCGCAACGACGCGATTCTATCGAAACGAAACCGAAGAAGGAAAAAGCCCAAAACGCCTAGGCTTTTCCCTGATTTATGCGCGTTATCCACGCACAGGGACCATGCTAATCTTCTCTGTATCGTTCCAATTTTAACAGACGTCCCGAAGGACCTCTACCGGGACAACACTCCCCCGGTCTCTCGGAATCTGAACGGCCATAGGCACCTCAAAATACTCCAGACTTACTATAAGTCTGGGCTCCCACGACCCTGGGACGTTTTATGGTAGTAGCTAGTGGTCTATACCTGGCGAAAAAGGTAAGAAATAAAAATAAAAATAAAAAAAATTAGAAGGGGTTGAAACAAATCCCAAAGACAAGACGGGGCAACTTTAGCGGAAACAGGGCGCGGAAGCTACTGGTGCCTCCCCGGTCCTGCAGCTCGGGACCGCGATCGGGCTCCCCCAACAAAAACTAAGGGGCATAGTCCCGCAGGACCCTCTACCCCTTAGTTCCTTCTACGCTCCGCCGCTCCCACGCTGCTGCTTGCCGGCCTCGAACCCTGCACCTCCCTGTCACAAGCCAAATGTCGTAACCTATAGGGCTAAGCCCAAGCCTGAGACCAGCAAGCGCGAAACCTCATATAAAGTGGTGCGACCTAGTGCTTAAGATTGAGAGGAAAGCCTGGGGCCTCACCTCCACCTATAACTAAGCGTGCGGCCGCTAAGTATCCATGCCGGCCTCCCCAACTGTGTCATGGCCATCCCACATACCAAACCTGCAGCCGGTCGGGCACGGCAAACGAGGGCGAGTCTATCAATCCTTAGTCTAATCAACGAAACAAGATCAAAGCGAACATCTATGCCGGTAATACGGTCAAAAGGATAAAATCACACGCTCGCCTGAAAATTGCGCGCCCACTCGCCCTATCTACTCAGACCACTTCGGCCCACACGCAGGCAACCCCCCTGACCTGCGCGAACACTCGAAAGGTCTGAACCAACGACCCTTTTGTCACTTGCAAAAACCAAGGCGGATACCCTTGTAAGGGTATTCGCGCCGACAACGCCCTAGGCCAAAAAGTGGTGGGTGAGCCGGTCCCCGACCGCAGTGGTCAAATCCGAGTTCGGGACAGTTTGACTGACGGGAGGTCTACTGTCATAGGGTGACCAGACCCGCTGTAGTCTAGGTGTCCTGGCGAGAGTGCCAAAGGGGTATCATACTCGAGTAGTGGGTATGCTGGTCCTGACCTGGAGGCAGGTCAAAGGGATTGTCAGGACAAATGGTCTGACTAGTCCTGGCCTGAGGCGGGCCGAATAGGGTATGTCAGATTGACGGGAGGTCTGGCATTCTTGGCCAGCGGTGGGCCAAAACCAAGGCAATCAATAACTCTTGGGTGTGAGGAATTATCTTGGTGTGTCTATTATTTTATTATTTTATTATTTTATTATTTTATTATTTTACTATTTTATCCTGGGTTTTTATTTTGTTTACTTGTTGCTTAGCTGTTAATTGTCGGGGGGCCTGCTTGCTACGGCATAGTCTTTTGTCTGTGGGACTCGCTATTTTGCAGGTATATAAAGACTTATTTGAAGTTCCTCAGACCAACGGAAAGGGAAGGGGTTTGGTATCCCCTTCCTTCTATCTAAGAAGTTGAAGAGATGCCTCACTCAGATGAGAGATAGAAAACAGGGTTTGGTATCCCGAGTCACTTAAGAAGTTGAGAAGATATCTCACTCAAGCCAGAGAACAGAAAAAGGGTTTGGTATGCCCTACTCCCAGCATGGCAGCCTGGATGAGTGCCACAAGCATTGGTATCAGATTGACAACATCCTCGACTTTGCTGTCAAGGTGAAGGGTGAGGTAACTCTTCTGCTGTAAAAATTCAGACAGGAAACGGATTCCAGAACGACAGAAGGTCAAAGCCAGCAGCAAATCAGAAAGAAAAAAATGTAATCCTTCTTGAATTCATTTGGTGGCCGACAAGCGTCCTGGTTCACGAGGAACCTGCATCCCTGGCCTCAAGGTATTCAGACTCCTGGGACGCTATAAAGTGTGACATGAATGGGAGGCTTGAAAGAAATCAATTCAGAAATTCAAGAGAAAGTCGCGCTTATACAGAATGTAGAAGACAACCATGAGCTCAACCTGAAGTAAGACGAGGAGAAAGAAAATGCAAGAAAGGGTACAACTATTAGTATGAGGAGAGGAAGAGACTACACATGGGTTAGAGGGTGAGACAACCGACATTGAAGCCCTACTCGCCGCAGGGGTAGTGGGAGCTCTGGGTGAATAGGGAGGAGAAGAAGTGTTTGGCGCGCCATAGCGCGCCTCAAACTTCGTCTCGAAATACTCCATCTTATTTGGAGACGGAGTCCTCTCAAACCAACTAGGTGGGGGATGGCGTAAGTAAGGTCGGGAGTACGTGCCATAACCCCGCCCTTCGTCTTCCTCCTCCTCCGAGCTATACTTGCGTCTTGCGCGAGGCAGCGGCTCGTCACGAGCCTTTCCTGCCCTTCCTCCCCTTCCTCTGCCCTATCCCCTACGTGCTTCAGGCATGGTGCAGGAGTGAAAAGCTATACAACTATGAAATCCGAGGTGGCAAGTAGTATGGGAATGTATAGGAGGGGGTACACTACTGAAAGAGGCGACATAATGGTTGCGCTAGGTGCATAGTGGTATGGCGTGACTAACAAAAGAAAATAATAAAAAGAGAGGAAAGGCGTTGTCACCGCTTGTGATGAAGAAGCTGGCAACTAGTGCTGAGCTACTGCAAAGCTCGCTGTGACACACGGTGAGTGAATGAGAGAACTCTGAGCGTAATGTTGCTTTTGTACTTGTCAAGTGGCGACATTTCGACCCAGTCGGGACGCTGGGTGGGGGTTTGGTATTATGTCGGAGGGCGCAGTGTAGTCCTCGAACCTCTGCAATCCGCTTAGTATGCCAGGCAATATTCTGCTATGGACCGGCCCAGTTGGCGCCTGCCCTCAGCAAAAGGGTGCGCCGCTGGACTTTCCATTGGTCCACGCAGGCTCGGCGCCCTACTGTACAGCAGAGCACTACCGGCTTGTGGTTGTGGTAGCCGCCGGGTTCGCCCAGGGACGCAGAGGTAAACAGATCGGCGCGGCCTTTTCTGCTGCACGCCGAGTGCCCCTTGGCCAGGTTATGGGTTAGGTGCTTGGAGCAGTGGTCGCTGTCAGAGAAAAAGAGATTAAGCAAAGAAAATAAGAAAGGGAAAATGAAAAGTAAAAAGAAAATTGAAAAGAAAGTTAGGTCCAATCTTCGCGACTGAAGGGTCTACTTTAGTTTGGAGAAATCCGACGACCTTTAGCCACTTCGTCCTTACGTTTCCGTTATTTCCATTATTGTTACTATTATTATCATTATTAATATTTAATTTTCATCTTCATACGACTCGTCAAACTCGGTTTTCATTTCGGCCTGTCATCTCGCGGTGCCGACGGATCAACCCTGAAATTTGACCATCGTCTGATGGTAGAGACTGGCTCAACTCTTCGTTGTTTCCCTGCGCCAGGTCTGTCCGACTGGGCTTTGCGCGGTAGGACCCCAAAAGAGGGGCGACCCGCGACCGCATTGGTAGGAGGCTTATCACCCCCGTGGAGGGTCATAAGCCCCCTCCTTGCCATCGGACACGGGTACCCAATGGAAGTCTGCTTGCGTTATAAGGAGAGAGGGGCGGACGTCTGCATCGCGTTATGGGACCACTACGTCGAACCCGCGGTTATTTTTATATTAAAGTGAAGGGACTAGAGATTGACCGAAAAGTGAGCCGCTTGCGTTATGACCGTTGGGAGTTCGGCTTTCTGGTCCCTTCTTTTCCTTTTCTCTTTCTTTCGTTTATTCGCTTTATAAGAATTCTGAAAAGATAATTTTTCTTAATTTACGGAGTCAGAAAAAGGATATCTGTATTCCTCGTTTAGAGCACAGGGATTGCGGTAAGTAGCGACCCTATATAGGCCGGAGGAGACGAGCCTCTGGATACTCGGACTTGGGCAGCCCTGTTCCACTAAGTACGGTGGGCTGAAGAGGGAGGATCGAGCAATGAAGTGTGCGCACGAGTTTGTCCCTGTGTGAGTGCCCCGAGTGTTAGAGTGTGGCTGTTCCGGAACTCTGTGCCCAGGGACTGTGTGCTGTCCGACAGAGAAGGTCAGCTATGGTGAGCAGCAGCGGATTATATGGGTATAGGCCAAGGTGCATCCAGTCCCTCTGTAGATGGGAGTGGATGTCAGGGGGCGGACCTACAGTGACGGCCGTGCTAGACTACTGCTACCGCAAGCGGGAGTTGAAGCTGAAGGTAAATGTAGAAGGGGGGGGAGAGGAAGAAATGAGAGGAGACCCAGACCTGCAGATGGCAATTACTGAGGCTAGAGACCGCGCAGAAAGGAGGTGCAGACGGGACAGGGTCATGGACGAGATGAGTGTGACTGTCACGTACCTGGACGAGGGGACCTCCACGGACACAGTGGATCGGGAACAGCAACACCTGGATCGTGATACCGAGGCTGAGAATGACGCGAGTGACCTGGAGGCCATGACCCAGTCCTGGCATGGACTGAACCAGTGGAGGCGGGACCATCCTTCGACTAAATCAGTGGAAAACAGCCCAGAGGTCAGTTCGCGAAAAAAAGGGGGACCGAAGTGACTAGGCAACAGAGATGCGAGAGTTAGCGTGCGAAGACAAGGGGGAGAGAGGGACGAGCGGTTATGTGTGAGAGGCGGGCAAGACGCGAGCTCGCTTATCACGGTTGACGTCATCAGTGCTGGCAGGTCGCGGGATAGCGCGTGCGGCTTCCCTGTTTCGGGACCAGGCAAGCGCGATGGTATTTGGACGATGCTCGTGTGCAGAGGAGCGCGAGCGAGCAACGATTAGGCTGATGTCGGCCCCTCCCTTGACACAATGCTGCTGACAGGTGTGTTTGGTTCGAGAAAGGGCTAAGATGGTGAGGGCACTGCGTATGAGCAGCACGCGTGGAAGAGAGGATTCAGACGGACACAAGCGGCATGCAGGGGGCACGTGTACTGATCACTCTTGATGATACCGATTCTTGGCCTGGGCCAGTTCGCGCCGATTGAGGTTGCAATATGACTGTAGGAAGTGAATAAACACTGTGGTCAAACGGAGAAAAAGGGGAGGCAGATCTTAGCGGGGTGAAAGCAGTATGCGAGCGACGACGGAAGGTTGGTGAGAGAGACCGGAGGGGTGCTGTGAGCTGATGACTCCTTGATGTTGCCACCCGCTACCTAGGGGGTGAGTGGGAGAGACGAGTGTGCTAAGCCTACTGTTTTCTCATGAGAATGTTAAATGATTTGCGCCTCTCTTGTTGAGAGCTCATCTTAAGTGGGCGGCTGAGCACGATTACATGGGTTGACGTCACCTGACTCACGGACTCGGTCTGTTTGACTACGCATGCTAACTCGACTCACGAGTGGCGAGAAGAGAGAACGAGTCAACACCACCAGCGTGCATTCAGACAAGAAACTAGATTTCCATCCTTCGGTTGTTGTGTGCGAACGCTTATGGCGTCGATCGTGCTAAGCTCCGGGCTTCCCCTCGGAGTGAGTGTAATTCAGTCGTTTTCACCCTCACGAAGGGGGAGGCTGAATCACGCGGGACTAGTAAGGTCATGTCTAGCGGAGTAAGAACTGCACCTATCTGAGCTGGTAAAGCATTAATCTGATGCGTTTATGCTACTTTCCCAATAGTGCATTTACTTGCCAGTGTTGTCGG